AGGGGGGGAATTGGTGGTGAAGGGGGGAGTTGGCGGTGAAGGGGGGGTGTTGGCGGTGAAGTGGGGGTTGGCAGTGAAGGGGGGGAGTTGGCAGTGAAGGGGAATCGGCGGTGAAGTGGGGGGAGTTGGCGGTGAAGGGGGGGAATTGGTGGTGAAGGGGGGAGTTGGCGGTGAAGGGGGGGTGTTGGCGGTGAAGTGGGGGTTGGCAGTGAAGGGGGGGAGTTGGCAGTGAAGGGGAATCGGCGGTGAAGTGGGGGGAGTTGGCGGTGAAGGGGGGGAATTGGTGGTGAAGGGGGGAGTTGGCGGTGAAGGGGGGGTGTTGGCGGTGAAGTGGGGGTTGGCAGTGAAGGGGGGGAGTTGGCAGTGAAGGGGAATCGGCGGTGAAGTGGGGGGAGTTGGCGGTGAAGGGGGGATAGGTGGTGAAGGCGGGGGGAGTTGGCGGTGAAGGGGGGGACAGCAGCGACCCAGCGGCTAGCCTGGCATCAGCGAGAAGTCTGCTGCGGGGAGCCCTCTGAGAGAGCCTGAGATGTTCCTCTTTATAAGTTTGCTTCTTATTTTTCTCTGCCCCATGGTTACCCTGTGCACAGCAGTCGTGTTAACTCTTTTACTTCATTTCCCTATTCTCATCTGAGTACACGCGACAAGAAACCTAATCCAATTGGACCTTGCGGAGTTATCATCAGCACCTTCCTTAAGCTTGCAACTTAAATGTCCCAATCTTAATTCGCACGTCTCTCTTTGTAGCTGTAACCTCACAACTTCTTTGTGAATACTCACTGGCCTTTTCCATTGTGGTTTTGAGGAGTGACCTTATAGAGGTTTATAAAACCATGAGAGAGGTATAGATAGGGTGAATGGTAGGTGTCTTTTCTCTTGGGGAGGAGATTTCAAGACTAGGGGACATATATTTTAAGGTGAGAGGAGCAAGATTTAAAAAAAGACATGAGGGGCAATTTTTTTACACGGAGTGTGGTTCATGTGTGGAATGAGCTTCCAGAGGAAGTGGTGGATGTGGGGACAGTTACAACGTTTAAAAGACATTTGGATAAGTACATGAATAGGGAAAGGTTTGGGGGGATATGAGCCAGGAGCAGGCAGGTGGGACTAGTTTAGTTTGGGATTATGGTCGGCATGGGCCGGTTGGGCCGAAGGGTCTGTTTCCGTGCTGTGTGACCTCGGTGGTAGTTCTTTAGCACCTGCGTCCAAAAGCCCACTTTAGCTGCTCCAGTGAGATACCGAGGGAGCTCCACACCGAGAAAAGTGTCCAATGGGCATTAAATTGAGGCCCTCTCGGCTTGTCCTTGGGGATCCCATGGTGCTGTTTGAAGACAGATGAGGAAAGGCCCACCAACTTATATCCCTCCGTCCGACAAAATCAGGAAAGGTTAATTATCCGTTCACGGTCCATGGGAGAGTGTGCCACAAAAAAAAATGGCTGTATTTTAACAACGACTCCATTTCAAAAGCAACGTTATTGGTTGTAAAGGTCTTTGGGGTGTCTCGAGATTGTGAAAATTGCCATTTCTCATTCAAAATCACCAATTCCATCCCTTACCTACTTCGTCGTTAGTGCCTTTTTAATGGTCTTTGTATCTACGTGACAATATTCCTCAGCTTCCCTTTCCCAACATCTTTATTTCTGGGAAACACAATTTCACGTCAGCACATCTCAAGCTGGCGATATATCTGGCAGCTTGTTCCACACACGCACCAACCTCTGCGTGAAAAAGTTGCCCCTCAGGTCCCCTTTTAAATCTTTCCCCTCTCACCTTAAACCTATGCCCCTCTAGTTTTGGACTTTCCTACCCTGGGGGAGAAAGACCTTGGCTATTCACCCTATCCATGCCCCTTGGGATTTTATAAACCTCTATAAGGTCACCCCCTCAGCCTCCGACGCTCCAGGGAAAAATATGCGCTCAGATGTCCTCGTGAAGGATTTAGACCCCAATGCATTGAGATGCAAGACTGTCCCTGCTCTTGGTTCAAGTCTCACGCCTTCCTGCCCTTGTTCTCTTCTCCATTTCCTTCCTTCGCTTCTCAGTTTTCCTCGCTTGCTTGAAGCCGGGTTAATTTTATAACTGGGGCTTATTTTGGTCTCGATGTACAGGCACAGCTGAAGAGGCCGTGGCACTGAGGCCAACTGTTCTTTGCCGGTCCTCCCAAGCGTGCCTGAGCCGATTCTCGTCGAGACGGGGCCGGAGAGGGGCACCCTGGGAGTTTTCCCTAAACGTTCGCTTCCGTCGGAGCGTTTGCCGAGGGATTGACCGGGGAGCAGGAAGCCGCCACCTGCTGCAACGTTCCTGCCAAATGCCAGCCTCGCACGGCTCCGAACCCGGGAATGTTGTTTTTCTCGTGGCCTTGCCAGTGTTGTACGACCCCTAGCGAAGTTGTCAGGGTTGCAGAGATGAAACCAGATTGACCCTGCTTATCCTGGACTTCAGCTGCCTGCGCGTTCCTTGTTTCAATCCTACGAAGGACGATGTCGGAGGTGAGGAGACATCATTTTTTACACAGCGAGCTGTTGGCTGCCATCCAAAAACAACCCGGGAAGCGGATTCGGAGATAATCTTTTGATTAGAAATGGCACTAAATGATAAGACGTAGCGGCAGAATGAGGCCACTCAGCCCATCGGGCCTGCTCCGCCATTCGATCTGTTCATCCCACTTTTCTGCCTTTACCCCCAAACCCTTGACTCGCTTCCCGATTAAAAACAAAATCTGTCTGTCGCAGCCTTAAATAAACTTCAGACCCGACAGCCCTCCGCGGTGAAGAATTCCACAGATTCACTCCTCTTGGAATAGATTCCTCCTCATCCCTGTCTTCGATGGCTGACCCTTTATTCTGACATTACGCCCTCTCGCACAAGGGGAAGCAACTTTATAGAATCCCTACAAAGTGAGAGCAGGCCATTCGGCCCATGCTCATCCTCTGAAGAGCATCTTACGCAGTCCCAACCCACTAAACCCTGCATTCCCCACGGCCAATCCACCCTAACCCGCACATCCCTGGGCACTATGAGTAATTTAGCACGGCCAATCCACCCTAACCCACACATCCCTGGGCACTATGAGTAATTTAGCACGGCCAATCCACCCCAACCTGCACATCCCTGGGCACTATGGGTAATTTAGCATGGCCATTCCACCCTAACCTGCACGTCCCTGGGCACTATGGGTAATTTAGCACGGCCAATCCACTCTAACCTGCACATCCCTGGGCACTATGGGTAATTTCCCATGGCCAATCCACCCTAACCTGCACGTCCCTGGGCACTATGGGTAAGTTAGCATGGCCATTCCACTCTAATCTGCATATCTTTGGACTGTGGGAGGAAACCAGAGCATCCGGGGGAAACCCCACTCAGACACGGTGGGGGGGAGAATGGGCAAACTCCCCACACAGTTGCCACCCACCTCCCAGAGACTGGAATTGAACCCAGGTGCTAACCACTGGGCCACTGTGTCAGTCCACTATTCCACATGCGTCCTGTCAAGTCCTTCTAAGAATCTTGTAAGTGTCAATAAGGTTGCCTCTCAATAGCCCCGACCTGCTCAAACCTCTCCTCATAAGACAGTCCCTCCATACCTGGGATCAGCCGAGTGAACTTACTCTGGGCTGCCTCCCATGGCCAGTCTATCTCTGCTTGGATATGGGGCCCTGAAACCAATCAGGGCTTTTCTATCTGTGGTCTGACTAGTGTCTGTTGCAGCTTTAGGTCTTTTTGACAGTGTCTTTGGAAACAATGGGCGTGCCAGGGCTGCTTTCGTCTCACAAAAAGCTGCCAATGTTCATTTAACTCGCTCCTGGCAGCGAAGGAGCTGACGTAACGCTTTCCAGTAGCTGCTAGGGCTGGAGTGACATTTCTTCGATGGTCAGTTGTCAGCGATCGAGTTTTTAAAAAAAGGGAGGATTAGCCGCTGCCCACAGTCTGAGACGCGAGTGGGCAGGACTGAAAGTGGGCACGACGACTGGCATTACTTTAATTCCAGCGCTCAACAGTTTCAAAGCACGCTCCCCCCTCCCCCACCACAAATGGAGCAGGTCCCCACCAAAGCGATCCGTGCAATCATTTGTGAAGCAGCTGCAGCTCAAACCTGGTGCTTGCTGGGTGAGGGTAGGTGCGTTCACATATCAACAGGCATCTCCCTGCCTTTGTGCGCAATGCTCCGAAGACGAGTCACCGGACTTTGAAGTTTCTCGCTTTCTCTCTCTCTCTCTCTCTGTCTCCACGCATGCTGCAGAGATTCTTCAGCGTTCTCGGATTTTTATATATATTTATTTATTTCATATGTATATATATAAGATGTCTCAGCTGGTGCCACTCTCCTGCCATCTCTCCCCACGGCCCTGCCAGTTTTCTCGCTTAGGATTATTACCCGCTTTGCTTTGCCAACGTCCCTTGATAGGATCAGCTCCCGCTACGCTCCCAGGCAGTGCATCTGGACCCGCGCTACACAAGGTGTAAGGACAGTTCCTCATGGGGCAAAAGTGGGATGGGGCGCTGAGCTGATGGCATCTCGAATGGAGGAGGAGGCTCAAAGGTCCGAATGGCCTACCGTAGTTCTTGTTTCCAATGTTTCTCTGAGGCATGATGGGCATCCAGTCCCGCCGGGATGGGGAGGGTTGGGGGGGGCGGGGCTGGTGGTGAGTGTGGTACATGGGCAGCACAGACTGGCATACTGCCCAGACTGAGTTGGATCCTCCCAGTGAGCACCAGCAGCTCATCTGCATTTGGGCAAGATTTGACAGCGTGCGGAGATAGAGTCATTGAGACATACAGCCGGAAACATCCTAAATTAATCCAGTCCCATTTGCCAGCATTTGTCCCATATCCCTCTAAACCCTTCCTAATCATGTACCCATCCCAATGCCTTTTAAATGTTGTCATTGTACCAGCCTTCACCACTTCCTCTGGCAGCTCGTTCCATACACACACCACCCTCTGTATGAAAAAGTTGCCCCTCAGCTCCCCTTTTAAACCTTTCCCCCTCTCACCTTAAACCTATGCCCCTCTAGTTTTGGACTCCCCCTACCCTGGGGAAAAGACCTTGACTATTCACCCTATCCATGCCCCTCATGAGTTTATAAACCTCTATAAGGTCACCCCTCAGCCTCCGACGCTCCGGGAAAATAGCCCCAGCCTCTCCCTATAGCCCAAACCCTCCAACTCTGGCAACATTCTTACAAATCTTTTCTGATCCCCTTCAAGTTTAATAACATCCTTCCTCTAGCAGGGAGACCGGAATAGAATGCAATATTCCAAAAGTGGCCCTAACCAATGTCCTGTACAGCCGCAACATGACCCTCCCAACTCCTATACTCAATGCACTGACCAATAAAGGCAAGCGTACCAAACACCTTCTTCACCGCCCTGTCTACCTGCAACTCCACTTTCAAGGAACTACGTACCTGCACCTCAAGGTCTCTTTGTTCAGCAACACTCCCCAGGACCTTACCATTAAGTGTATAAGTCCTGCCCTGATGTGCCTTTCCCAAAATGCAGCTCCTCACATTTATCTAAATTAAACTCCATCTGCCGCCCCTCGGCCCATTGCCCATCTGATCGAGGTCCCGTTGTACTCTGAGGTAACCTTCGCTGTCCACTACAACCTCCAATTTCAGTGTCATCTGCAAACTTACTAACCATACCTCCTGTATCTGCATCCAACTCGTTCATGTAGATAATTTTGGCAGAACTTTGATCTTACTGGTGGGTGTGTGAGTGCCAGTCGTCAGCCAATTTGACTGTGGGCAGCGTTCAGAGCTGAGATGGGGTCCTGCTTATAATGGCGGGTCTTAAGAATGCGCAGAGAATCCCCCGTCCTCGGCAGCTTGCTGTACTCGACGTCAGCGTACTCCGAGTGGGGCAAGGAGAAAACATTGAGAGCCTCCTATCATGCATTTGTTTCTGTTTTTGGTTATCCCCAACTGTGCCATCCCGAGAAAGATAAAAAGGAGCCAAATCAGAGGGGAGCGTTGAAGATATCACGCTTGGAGTCTTCCTTTTCTCCCTCCGAGGGGCGTTATTCCCAAAAATGCTGACTGGAATGGGAACAGCACCGCCTATGGAATTTCATGATTGGTTGTCTCACTTTGAACCCCATTTCCCAACACCACCCCCACCCCAATTGAACCAAACTCCATTTATAACAATCCTTACTCTGAGACTGTCTGGGACAGTCTACCGAGAGAGTTAGTAGCTCAGAGACCAGATTCACACAATACTTGGCCCTATTTGATTCATGTTTTAAGCCAGGCACCACCTCCCCCCCATCCCCACCCCCCAACCACCAACCTTTCAAACTTCCGAGATTTCCGGTGTGCTGTGCCATGTTGGAATCCACAGCTCCGTTTCCCACAACTTGGAACGTCAGCAATAAAGCAGATCCTTTAGCTGTTTTCGACTCTGACCTGCTCCAAAGTCTCTTCAATCGTGCGGGTTTTTTTTTGTTTAATCGACACGCTCTGACGCCACTTAACTGCTTTCGATTTGTACTCCGTTTCCAACGTTCTTCCTTCTCCCTCCCGTCCTGTTCGAAATAGGCTGCTGGGGGCAGCTTGCGTTTTTTTTTTCAAGGGTGGAGGCGGATCCAGTCATAGGGGTGCACGGCCCACAGAAACTGACACTTCGATTCCAACTCGTCCAGATATCCTGAATTAATCTGGTCCATTTGCCTGCGTTTGGCCCAAATCCCTCTCACCCCTTCCTGTTCGCAGATTCATTATTCAACTCCTCAAGGCAGTCCTGCCTTGCAGCAAGATCATAGCCCAACTCCAGCTCGCTACCTTCGCCCTGTGTCCCTTATCGATTCACAAACGATGGTGGTGGTTGTGGGAGGTCAGTCATCTCAGCTCCAGGACATCTCTGCAGGAGTTCCTCAGGGTAGTGTCCTCGGCCCAACCATCTGCTTCATCAATGACCTTCCCTCCATCATTAGGTCAGGAGTGGGGGATGTTCGCTGATGTTCGCACAATGTTCAGCTCCATTCGGGACTCCTCAGATACTGAAGCAATCCGTGTTCAAATGCCACAAGATCTGGACAATATCCAGGTTCGGGCTGACAAGTGGCAAGTGACATTCGCGCCACACAAATGCCAGGCTATGACTATCACTAACGAGAGAGAATCTAACCATCGCCCCCTTGGCATTCAATGGTGTTCCCATCACTGAATCCCCACCTCACTATCAACATCCTGGGGGTTACCATTGACCACAAACTGAACTGAACCCACCACATGAACACAGCGGTTACAAGAGCAGGTCAGAGGCTGGGAATCCTGCAGCGAGTAACTCCCCTCCTGACTCTCCCCCCAAAGCCCGTCCCACCATCGACAAGGCACAAGTCAGGAGTCGGTGGAATACTCCCCACTTGCCCC